CCGTGCAGGTACCTGTCACAAATGTTGAACCCCGCAGAACGTAACTACCAGATATTTGATCAGGAGCTTCTAGCTGTTATTCACACCTTAACTGAATGGCGCCATTATTTGGAAGGCAACCCACATCCCATCCTCGTCTTCACCGACCATAAAAACCTTCTATACTTCCAATCAGCCCAAAAGTTAACTCATCAGCAAGCCTGTTGGCAATTGCTTCTATCCTGTTACGATCTTGAGCTTCATCATGTAGCAGGAACCAAGCTTGCTGCCCCTGATGCACTTTCCCGCCGCCCTGATCATGGTGGCGACACTGCTGGCGACAATGCAGATATCACCCTACTTCCTGACTCTTTGTTCACGCGCCTTCTTGATGTTGAACTGATGACTTCCCTTGTGAACCCCAATCCCTCCAACCCTGACCCCATTTTCCAAACTGCCTCCGACGCTCTAGATGGTCTTTCTCTTCCCCCTATGAAATCTGCTCTTGCGGATTGGATGATAAAGGATGATATCCTCTATTATAAAAACCGTGCCTATGTCCGTCCTGCCAGACAACACCTTATTTTGGAATGGTGTCATGATCATGCCACTGCCAGTCACCCTGGGCATTTTAAGACTGAAGAACTGGTTAAGCGGGACTTTTGATGGCCCTCTATGGGTACCTATATCCGTAAATACGTTGAAGGTTGCACCCTCTGCCAGCAGATGAAATCCGACACTCATCTGACAACCCCACCCCTTGTTCCCATCCCATCTGCTGCTGCAGCACCATTCACCCAGGTCTCTGTTGACCTCATCACTGACCTTCCTCCATGTGCTGGCTTTGACTCTGTCATGGTCATGGTCAACCATGGGCTTACGAAGGGGGTAATCCTTATCCCTTGCACAAAAACCATCACTTCCAAAGGGGTCACCAAGAAGTTTTTCAAATATATCTACCACCAATTCAGCCTGCATGAGAAAGTTATCTCTAATTGCAGGCCACAATTTGTATCAAAATTCTCAAAAGCTCTTGCCAAGCTTCTGAAATATGACATAGCTGCATCTACTGCTTATCATCCCCAGACTGATGGCCAAACTGAACATCTTAATCAAGAACTTGAAACCTATCTCTGAATCTATTGCCAAAATCACCCCAAAGATTGGGTAGAACATCTCCCAATGGCAGAATTTGTACACAACCATCGAAAACACGACTCCCATAATGCCTCCCCATTCTTCCTGATGATGGGATACGAACCAAGGGCCCTTCCTTATGTACTCCCCGACTCTACTGTCCCCGCAGCAGAAGATAGACTTCACTCACTCCAGAAATCAAGAGAAGAAGCACTGTCCTGCCATAACCTCACTATGCAGCGAATGGTGGAACAGTCTCATGGACAGAAATATCACCTGTGGAAAATAGGAGATAAGGTTTGGTTATCAGGAAAGAACTTGATCACACAGTTACCATTGCAGAACTCGCACCGAAATGATATGGCCCCTTTCCTATTACCACAGTACTATCCCCCATCATTTTCACACTCCAACTTCCACCACAATGGAAAGTTCATCCCATGTTCCATGCTTCTGAACTATTGTCCTATCACCAGACAGAGGTTCACGGCCCAAACTTCCATGATCCACCCCCAGATGTCATTGATAATGAAGAAGAGTATGAAATCGATGCAATCTTATCACACAAAGGCACGGGTAAACGAAGACGCTATCTCTTATCCTGGAAAGGATACTCTTCCACTAGTAATGAATGGGTCCCAGAAGAGAACCTTAGCAACGCTCCTGACATCCTCACTGCATATAAGAAGGCTCACAAATTGTAACCACAGAACGATGTCTCTTGAATGACTACGCCTCTGTATCCAATGAATTGAAGAGCTCACCACTGCTATGAATACTGTATCTGAAAACGTCACCAATCCATCATCTCTCATCGACTATCAAACTGCCACCACCACCAACCTCACTGCTAATGCATCCTCCCCGGTTGCTTCTCCACCGTCATCAGATTCTACCCTGACCGATGACTCCATTCTCACTGACTACTTCTCAATCATTGACCAAGTTGAAACCAGCACTCTGTTCGAATCCACTATCACATCCCAGCAATACGCCATTGAAATAGATCACCTCTTAGGAGAAAGAGGAGCAATATCTAGTGGACTCATCATCCAAATTATCAGAGATGCTAGTCTCATTGAGCGCACTGCTAATCTCCTTGATGATGAATGTCACAAGACCATCTTCTGTCATCTTCATATACGCATTCATAATACTGCAATCCACCTGTTGCCTGATGATACTAGGGAAGCTATCAGAGAAGCTATTCATATTGTCACAGAACGAATCACTCTTGACCCAGTCACACATCCTCCCTCTCTGCACATTGCCATTCCAGTCCCACCACCAATTCCTCCAACAATTACCATTGAGCATCAGGATAATGATATCCCTCCTATTGCTGTACTTGACGTACCAGCTTCTCCGTCTCCTACCCTCATCACACCCACTACATGTTGATACCCTATTAGGCACAGATCCGCCCGCATTGCCAAACATACCATGTTGGCTTCCCCACACAGAAATTGTAAATGATGATCTAGATCCCCTTCTCCCCCAGCACAGTCAACCACTGTCACCACAGTAAAAACAGCGACAATTGATAACATTGTATGCCGCAATTGCCATGCTGCCAGACACCATCACAAGAACTGCCCAGTGTACTACTGTCAGGTTTGCAAGGAGTATGCACCCGGACACTTATTGGTCTTTTGTAAAGACCTGAAAGGAGAAGCAGTCATTCCACTGGTTTGGACTGACCCCGGTTTCTATGAAGCCCTTGCTCATTGGGAGATTGAGCAGGATGCCATCTATCATGCTGCTGAATTAGCCAATAGGTCGCTTCCTATTACTGAGGACCAAAACAATTTGTTGGACTCAAATTATGACGCTGATCCTATCTACCGGGCTAACCAGGATGACTGAAGTTGGTGACTTCATTCTTAAATGAGAGGTAATGTTACAGTTACGCTTGCCCCTATTCATTTTCTTCACTTACACTTGTATTACGTCATGACCACGCCACACTGCACCATCACTAGACTCATTCATTTCTATATTTGTATTACATCGTGATCACCGCAGCTGTTGTTAGATGACTCACCTCCTATCTCTGACTTGTCTCTTATCAATGACTCATCTCTTATCTCTGACTCATTGCACCTACCCTAAAGTACTTACATCCTATATATACCTGGTCATGTACTTAGTAGATCTTTACTTTAATCTTACTAGGTTTTCACCAGAACATCTTTCACTTAGAATCCCCAATTCTAAGTCATCTAGACTGATATTCAAAACAGAGACACTCTCTTTGTTTTGTCTTATGACCCTTACATTTGTAAGGTCTTTTATTCAACTTCAACCGACGCTCTTATTGAGCTGTTGACGTTGCGACCATCCTAGTTCATAACAGTGAGCTTAAAAAGGTGATGTAATTTGATATTTTCTTTATTTGGAATGGCAATTTTGATGACTCTAGCAGTAGTATTCCTGCTCAGACCAGTTTTAGTAGAATTCTGCCTGGTAGACAGATGAGAGGAGCTGAGAATGAGAATAGGGGTTATTTCAGCTATGGGAGGGAGTTGCAGCATGGTGGGGGAAGATTACTGATGGGTAATGCTAGGAATTGATAAAGAATGTGTTTATAAGAGTGGTAGAAGTGATTAGAACAACAGGAGGAAACACCAAGTACTAGAATTATAGAGATTGTATTGGTCAAATTCAAAGTCAAAAAAGTGTCCCAATGAGTCACCAAATTAAAATGTCCATATCTTCACATGATAACATCGGATTCCCACGCTATGGGGAACAAAGACAAAGTGAAGAAGCAGAGCATTTTGACACCTCCCTATAGCTTAGTCATATTCCCACATCTTGACTCACAATGAAGCAATTACATGAAAACCCACCAACATTGGGACACTTTTTTGAGCCACTGTATCATAAAGTCACACTCTAGCAATGGTCTATCAACATTTATCTACCATAGGTCACCCTTGCAACATCTTACATACCAGCATCAGACTTATAGTTTTCTTGTAGTTTCTTGTCATTCAAAGTCATGTTGTTCCCACTTATGTATCATTTTGACTTGGAATATAACTGTGTTCATGGATTTTTGATCTGATTCTGTCAATAACATCTATGAAAGCCTTTTTCTCACTGATTTCCTGATATCTGGACCTCTAGACCTCCACAGCTAGTGTGCTCCTCCACCTCCATCCTGTCCACTCTGAGCATGTTTCCTCCAGTCAGATATCCAGACCTTTGCTCCACCAGTATTCTGGACCTGTATCAACCTCACATCCATATCCCAGTCTCATCCCCACCAGAATACCAAAACTTCAGACCTCATCTGTAATCACCTCATTTCCATAGATGCCAAAGACATACCATAAGTGTATAGACATTATTGAGCATCAGTACCTTGGCAGACATTGAGAACATCACCAGAGTTCAAAGATGGCTAGGACCAATTTTTTATTGATAAGTAGCTACTATGCACAAACAAGATCAATGCACTCATGACATAGCTGTGCTTGAAGAATGGTTTGATAATTGGGATGCATGCAAACTTAGCACTGGCAATGGGCATGTAAGTGATACAGTGCCAAGTTTGGAGTGTGGCCTTTAGTGATGCAGAGGTTTGGTTCTGAACCACAGTTTGAACTGAACTTTTCATGAACTGGACTGCAGTCCAGTTCAACATTCAGAGTATAGGCTGAACTGGACCGATGGTCCAGTTCAGTGTTCAGCATTCCTTGAACATGTCCAAACCTTTTTGAACACTGATGTCATAACTTAAATAAACCATGTATGCTTCCATTTTAGGCCACTCACACCAATGATACAAGATCACATCATCCATACACACAATACACTGAACACAACATGATTACTCAAACATGATTGTTGATTCATGCAACTTTTTTGCTTGGAATCTGATTCACTCACTCCCAGATTATCTTGCCATACAAGGTTCTGCCACGCCATCAGAATGGGCCTTTTCAAGTGGCAGCATCACAGATCAGAGTCAACACAACCAGCTCACACCTGATATCTTCGAGGCACTCCAATTGTTGAAGAGTGCTTATCACAACAGGCATATCCAGGCTGCAGCTGAGGCTGCCACTTGTGTTGAGCCTCTCACTCATGTGACTAAAGATGACCTTTCTGTTGACCTTACTTATCTTTAGTCTTGCTTTGCCTTACTTTCACTCAGTCGTGCTTCATAGTAGTGTACCAGTACTCCTTACTACTAGTACAATTACAATTGAGTAAATTTACAATGTGTTTGATGTTCAAATGCTGAACCAGACATGAACCAGATGCTGTGAACATGTTCACAGCATCTGGTTCAGCATTCAGCAAAATGATTGAACTGAACACAAGGTCCAGTTCAGTGTTCACAAAATTTCTTGTTGAACTGGACCAAATCGGACTTCCACAACACTAGTGGCCTTGGAGCAAACCTCTGAATCAAAGTTACCAATAGTGATGAAGATGAGGTGCATCTCAAGCCCTCCAGTGGTTCTCATCATGGGAGTTTTGTCAGATCCTAAGATGACTGGTACTTGTATATATTCCTCTCAGTGATCCATTAGATTAATGTTGAGGGTGAGCATGCTAGAACTATATCATACCCAGGTTCAGTATTGTGAGTTTATCTATGATATCCTACAGCTTTCAATTAAACAAAAACACACATTCAAACTCATATCATAATGTCTTGACCACCTGATGTCTTAACCACTGTTGTCCAATGGCGACTTGCAGCTAAACGATGTCGCAGAATGCGACGAGTCGAACGAAGACACGATCGAATTGACGGCCGAGTACGCGCTCAGAACAGCGCAAGACAGGCAAGCAAGCGTGAGAAGGAAATTCCACACGTGGAAGAACCCGTTCTTGGTGAAGACTGACGGCAGGGTTAGATTTGGCGCGAGGGAGCTTTGTGCAGAAGTTGGTACGTACATGCACGTTTCCAACGCGATAAATCCCTCCACGTATCAACACGATGGGCGTGGGGGTTGTTGATGTTAAATTGTGCGTCGCCTTTTGTGGCATCCAGTTGCATGCAGTAACCCAAAATCATAAATGGCGGGAAGGTGTATGTGAACTCTGAAAAGAGATTAAGCCGTGAGAAGAGCAACTAGAAAAAATACGAATACTCACGGAAGATGCAAACGGCAGCAACCAGCGCCGAGAGGTCGCTGAATAGCGGAATGGCGGATCCAATAACGAAGGCAATGGACCAATACACTATGACAGAGAAGGCGAAGTAGTATTTACCCCGAGCAACAGTCAACTGGGGGAAACCAAACATCTCCACCAAAACGTTGTTGTAGATGACTTTGACACCGATGTTGCCATACAATGCACCAGCAATGAGACCAGCAGTCAAAGAAATGGCGTTTGTCGCAGTCTGTAGACCATAAGCGGAAATTCCCTGGTTGGCCGGCTGCAACAACATCGTCAATAGGATTCCAAGTCAAGAGAGAAACGACGGACGTTAATAACATATTGGCCTTGGTACGTGTAGACGAAGAGGCCGAAGAACATGTATACGATGAAGATGAAGACCTGGGAAAATGCCATAGCCTTCCAGAAATCCATTGGACGCCGCATTTCAGCCATGAACTCGACAAAAATCATACTAAAATAATTTGTTCATCTGCACATGAATGTCTTCATGAGTTATGATGACTTACGCTCCACCGTATGAGAACACAATCTGCATGATACCATTGAGCTGGTCCTGGAAAGGCTGTAGGTTGATTGCCTGAGTCATCACGGGGCCTGCGTATTGTCCAAACGGTGACGCAGTATAGTTAGGTGGCGAGTGAGCCACAAAGGCCATTGTCATAATCAATACCATGACGTTCAGCCAGATAGAGACATTGGCGACCTTGCCAAACTTCTGAAGAGTCCGAATTTGACCCAGTATCATTCCAGCCAGAGCCCAGACAACGTTACAGATGCTGAAACATAGCTATATAGGGGTAGGTTAGATGTCAACATGCGCCAAATCATGAGAAGGGTACCTTGAACTTTGCCATCTGCGAAAGGCCTTGGCCATTTTGAAGAATAATGATCCCGACATTGAACACGAGCTGCAAACTTTGCAAGATGTCACAGACTGTAGATCTACGTGATCAATCGATGCTCTACATCCATGAGTGTGTTTACGTACGATACTTGAACCAACGGCCATAGATGCGTTGCCCTAAGTCTCCGAAAGACTTGACTGGATACCTTTCCGAGTCCAGTTTCAAGAACATCCACCATAGAAGACAGCCACCGTACGCAGCCAAAATGCCGAAGACGAAGAAACAGGCTACACCAGGACCATATCCGACTTGTTGGAATGTCCACGGGGTAGAGTAAGGACCCAAAATGTCTTTGGAAAGATGTCATAGAACCCATCAAAATCATCAAATCTGTCAATCAGCTTACCAGTGGTAATAAGATAGAACACGCTCCCCCACGTGGCCGTCCTAAGAGCCCCAGAAGCTGCACGGTACTCGCCTGCGGTGACTATAGCGCCGCCCCCCTCCTCTGAGGAAGGAGCTACATTCTTCCTATCAGATGCAACAGAACGCTTGTCAGATTCCTGGGAGCGATTAAATATTCTCGAGATCAGGCCACCCGAGCGGCCACCTTCAGCATCAGTCTTGGCAGAGAGGGCTTCCCTGTCACGCTGAATCTTGGCATAGTACATGTATGTCTCGAGATTGGGCGTAGTGCCATCAGGGACATGGTAGCTCTCGAGAACATACGCATTCTGCTCTTCCTTCTCTGAAGGCTCCTTGCCAGCTGCGATAGCTGCAGACTGGACCGTCATTGTGTAGGAACAAGGAATTCAGACTTCGTAGTTTGATGCGGTAGGAGGCTTTATGTAACTGCGGGTACTGCTACATATGTTTGATATCAGCATGCAGCGCCATTAGATCGAGATGGAAGTACAGATATTCTGAGACATATGAGCAGGCACCTGAATCACGAAGTTGCACGGTCAGTTCCTGGGACACACCTAGACGCGCGCGCCTCACCACGAAGCCTGCATAGCCTGGAGTCAATACACTGTCAGCGGCATGATCTAAACGCTCCTAAACGGTGATGGCAGTACAATCTTTTCACGTTCTCATCGATGTTCATTGATTCCGAGAATGAATAGCACATGCGCACAATCTCCAAAGTGGGTATGACGTAAGATTTGGGCGCCACCGCAACAGCGTTGAGGGAGATAAGGTCCATATTTGAAGGTGGTGTTTCAGTTAGTGGCCGAAGGCTCTATACTCGGAACATGCAATGTTGAGACCGAGATCATAGTTGAGCCGTTATGCATGTGAATATTAATGACAACTCCTAAGAGCTCGTATACCCTGCTAGGTTCATCAGCTCATCGTTTATAATTATCAGCGGTAACGGGGTGACTTACATACGCGTTATCGGGCCCCGCGCCGCTCGCATGTCCTGCCTGAAATCCCCGCTTCCTCCAACAGAACCCCACCACTATTACAGCACCCGAAAAATCCCACGCAGCTCTATACAGGCGCCGCTGTCCAGTCTTGAGAGGGATTGTCTTACACAACAATTACCGCTGTTGTGACAGAGACTGACAGCACTGGGATGTCTGGTGGTGTATTTTTGTGTTTGATGTATGTTGCCAATTCAATCCCGCCGCTCGTCATACACCAGACAAGGGTATTACAGCTGATGCGAGGCCTTCGGATCCCGGGCGCATGATATTCGGTGGCATCCGCAAGATCCTTCTGCCAGGCAATCGTGTTTGAAAGATGAAGGGAAGTTTTTATTTGGGATGTGACTCCGAGACAACTTGTTAAAGTCTTGATAAAGCGGCAAGGAATGACTAAGACTTGTTGATGACTCGGTCGCTATTGATGTTCCTTCTTTATATGCCACAGCCTTGTGATCCGAATGTAAATGTGTTCCCTAGCATGGACGGAAAACATCAGAAGTAGGTCACTACTCCGAAAATGCCCACGGCATAACACGTGCCGCTCCAGTTCTTCTAAATATGTTGTTGGCAGAGCTTGAGCAAAGCTTCGCAGTCGTCATTTACTGTCTTGACTTTAAAGTTTTAGATGCAGTTTCTGTTCCTGGGACATATTCTACACCACATGATACTCTACACCACACGATTCTTTGTGTTAATCTGTCCTCGAGCGCCTATCACGTTTTCTTAGGCCGTGAAGGAATCGTTTGTTTGTAAAAATGCGCCATGATACCCTCCGTGTGTGTCATTGTCAGATTGAATACTGGATGTGTCGCATTCTGCATAAAAGCTCGATCAGTCTTCGACACGTCGAAATTGGCACAGTAAATCACCATCCGGTTATTTTGCGCTCCAAGTATACGAGATGTGCCCTCCTCCTCTGTCCAAGAAAGAGAGTGCAAGAAACATGCTTGACGAAGTTGCTCGTGCGTGGACTCTGATTGGAATGAGAGACTAGCTTTTTCGATGAAACTTTACGACCTACCAGGCGAGGTCTTCCAACAACGAACAATGGCATCCTGCCGAGTAGATGACAGGAAAACATTATGCTGAGCCGAGGATAGTCCTGCTAAACAATATAATGTATGGTACGAATCTGCGGGCCTGTGAACATTATCAGCAGAGGATCATGTAGATGGTTTCAGAGCTGAATTACTTTGGAGGTTTGTCGCGCAGGCCTCCTGCTGGGTGTTGACCGGCGCACAGGATATAGCGCTGTAGAGCAGCGCGATCCCACAAAGAATCTGCGTATGCACCCATTCATCAGCATCTCTCATCACACAACGACAGCAGATAACAAACCATCAATATCATCCCAAGCTTCGTCCTCTTGATGGGCGGTAGAAGATTCGTGATTATCATCACGGCTATGCGCACCAACGATGCCTAGCGAAGATAACAATGCAAAGCAGCCCCCAACCCACCAGGAGTAACACCCATCCACAAGCTTATTAGTACGGCCCTTGAAACCACCAAGCTCGATCTCCGAGCCTTGCATCTGCACCAGCCACCGCAGCAGCGTCTTGAAATTCAGAGATGGCCGCTGGAGCGAAGGCTTTTGCAGAGCAAGGTACGGTTGAA